ATCTGCAGACTGGGACTAACATGAAAGGCACCAAAGGCTCCCGATATTATTAGAACTAAGTGGACAGCTTTACAGTTTCCAGACTTGAGTCAACAGCTTATCAGCTCTGTAGGGTTTTTTTTGTTTTGTTTTTTTTCTCCCTCTCCTGCTTTTAAAATCCCTTTCTTCAGTCTCTGGGGCGTGCAGTCTCCAAATTGGCTACCGGAGGCTGTGTCACCAGGCCTGGCCTAAAATAAAGCCTTTGCTCCCCAAATTTTAATTTCTTGCTTCCTTGGGTTTTATTCCAGGGTCCGAGCTATCACAGGCCACAGGTGGTGGTGGCCTGCCTCAATTTCTCTAAGAACTCTAAAGGTACTGCTTCATGAAGATGTACAACCTGTGCCCAGACTATTGCAGACTGCAGTTCAGCCACATGATAGACATGCGGAAAACCCTCCATACTTTCCCCTGCCCATCTGGCTTCTTTGAGTGCTATTTGTGAGAGACAGGGGGTGGTGGGGGAGAGAAGAGAGAGAGAGAGAGGAGAGATAAGGCAGAAGTTCCAATTTGTGGCTCAGCAAAATTTTTCTGAGCCAAAAAGGTGACAGTTGCTGCTTGTGGCTCAGTTAAAGTTATTGGATGTTATAAAATGGAATTTCTAGCAAAGCTCAGCTCCAGCAGAAAGGAGTCATCCTGTATCACACTTTTCTTATCTACTTGAGCAAGGCTAGAGTCTTAAACTCTGTCAGGGTTTCTGTTGCTCTTCCATCTTTTTCCTGCTCGGGGCTTGATTTTAAAATAGTGCCCAGAGCCAATTTCTTTGTGGCTGTCTCATCAAGCTTACAACCATTAAGATACTTCCTAATCCAAACCCACAAAAGAAAGGTAAATACAGAATCAAGCATATAACAGACACTTTTATATATACCTGAGAGGTTCTTGCCCCAGTATAAATTACTGTGCAGTTATGGCAGTGGTCTTACGTGTCAGAAGGCCAAAGCGGGAACATCATCACTTCCTCCTCCTCCCTCAGCTCTAATTGCAGCTCCCTTTCCTGTTTATGTGCAAAGAAAATTCCAATCAGATCCTCACACATCATCAGTGTCCACCCTCTGTACCACTTCCAATCCGAGGTCATGTAACCCTCTGCCTCTCTGTATCTGGTCAAAGGAGACCGCCCACCTGCCACGGGGTGTGTGCTCCTTTCCACGTCCTCGATAAACCCATTCTTTTCCTTTTTTTTTTTTAACCTTTCACTTCTCTATTGCACTAGAAAACTAACAATATCTATATACATCTGTGGTTCTTTATAATTTGCTTTCCTCATGTCTAACAACTGATAAAATCAATACTCCTTCCTTTGTGGTTGTCGTTTGTGTTTCTCACGAAGCCTCTCATAACTGTGGCCCTTAGAGAATCTGCCTTTTTCAGTGCCCCAAGCTTGACACCTGATGGGAACAATATAAATACACTGCAGAGATGAATACTGGCCTTTGCTAGCGCACTTCTCCCTCTCGTTGTACACACGTGAGAAGGCTTCTCGCACCCTCTAGTCTCTTACCCCACATATGATGGCATATGATGTTAAGGCATCATATGCCATGACCGGCACAGCTCTTGAGGGTCTTGGGGAGAAGGACCGTGACAGGATGAGGAAATAAAGAAAAGATGAAAGCTGGGTTCAGGTGGAAACCTTTCTCTCTGGATGGGAGGAAAGGAACTTCCCCCTTTTGTAGGGGTATTTATACATCTAGCAACTTAATATCACATGATACCCCATTGCCTAGTAATATACAGGTTTGGCAACCTAAGGGCTTGATATTTTGGTGTTTGGAGACACTTGCTTCCGCTGCTCGCCCCAGGCAGTCTTTGCTCTTGGACTCTGCTGCCCAGCTCCTGCAGGTGTGGTCAATTCCCAGCTTCTAGAGTTCCTAACAGTCTGGGACTACAACTTGTCCTAAATTAAAGGGGCTATGTAGACTTCGTGGTTTGTTTTTGGTCCCTGTCTTGCCAGGCTGAGCATGAGCTTGGTCCCCTCCAGCTCTCCAGTCCTGTTCACAGAACTGTGCTATGATGACTTCTCTAGATTGTGAATCTTTTCTCCAGGCCCAAGCCCCCAGCCTGCAGAGGAGCTGAGACAGCAGGGCCAAGCCAGTTCAAGGCTCCCACAACCTCCTCCCACACACCAGCACTGAGAAACTGATGTAAGGATTAGCCTCTCACTCCCTTCCAGGTGCTCAGCTAAACACTCAGCTAGTTGTGATTGAACAGTGACTGCAAATAGGCACCAAGGGTATTTGGGGAGGGATGGGATGTTTTAAAACTTACACTACAGTGATGGCGGTGCAACTCTAAATTTACTAAAATTATGAAATTTATATGGTGGTACAGTCTAAATGTACCAAAAATCATGGAATTTGTACTTAATGAGAAGTTTGATAAATCTGTTATAAATTATACTTTGATAAATCTATTAAAAAAGGAGGTCACAAATTTCTCTGATCTTATGTTCACCTTTTAAATTCTTCAAAGTGAGACTCCCTAGAGGCTTCTCACCTCCTCACCTGGCTGGACCCGGCTTCCCAGGAGAAGACAGTCATCACAAGAAGCCTCCTGTTTGGGGACCAGTCAGGCCTGGGTTCACACCCACGATTACACCATGTATTACTTGGGCAAGATGTTCGCCCTCCTGAGTTTTGTTTTCTTAGTGCAGTGCTACGAGATTGGAATGAGACAGCACAATGAGCACCTGTCCGCAAGACTAGTAGAGTCAGTGTCCCTTAGCTTCTGTGCAGCTCAGCGGGGAGGGTTTTTCCGGAGGGCTCCAGTGCCCTATGATATCTTTCTTCTCTCACTTCCTTTGTGCTTATGCATTGTCTCTCAGCCTCTGTGCAGTCCTTGTCATTTCACTGAGATATGAAACAGCCTTTACTAATCCTCCCTGCCTCGCCTCTGCCCTGGGAATTATCTTCAACATGGGCTTTAGGTCCTCGATACATGTTCTAGGTCACACTCCTGTTAAAATACCTTACAACTTGCTAATGCTGATACCGTGGATCCCGAGCCCTGACATGGCCCGACAACCACGCAAGGTAAACGGGTCTTTCGGCTTCACTCCCCCTCTGTCTTAAGTCTTGTAGTCACAGCTGCTTACTAACCATTTATTTTCTGGACTTCTATGACAATTTTATTCCTGTTTTCTGTTCTTTGCTCCACCGGGGAATCCCTTGAACAGTTAGTTCCCTTTTTCCAGTGGAGTTTCAGTTTTGTCCTGTATGAATTAGGGTTTTATGATTTCTTATCAGAATTGTTTGGGGGGTAATAATGATTCATATGATCATTACAATAGTAACAAGAATCAAAAGCAAGAGTAATGATTCAGTACCTGCTACGTGTCAGGTAGATTCTTAAGCAATTTATAGAATTTATCCCAATTATTTAAATTAGACGGTGTTATTAGTTGTATTTTATCATTGGAAGCTCATTCAGTTTAAGGCAATAAGCATCAGGGGCAACACCCCAACCTAAATCTGTGTGAAATCAAGATCTGTTCTCCAAGTCTGGCATGGAGTGGTGTTTAGTGAGTTTTTGCCTTTCTTTCTTCATCTTTCATAGTCTCTTGTTTAAGTTCTGACAGAGGGTATGGCTCCTATCTTGCTTCTCCAGAAGCATGGCTGGAATGGCTCTCTCTCTCTCTCTCTCTCTCTTCTCTCTCTCTCTCAGGTGCTGATGAAAAGAACCTAGGGCTTTGTGCATGCTAGGCAAGTGTTCTACTGAGCTACATCCCTGGCCCCAACGACTCTCTTGGATATTAACTGGGGTTTCTTGAGAAATACATCAATTTCTTCCAAGGGCAATGACTCCATGACCTAATTACCTTGCACTAGGCCCATTCAAAGGTTCCATCACCTTGCATCATGTCCACACTAGGGACCAAGTTTTCAATACAATACACATGGGGAGGATGCATATCCGTATCCAACCCATAGTCCAAGGCAAATTTCTGATATTACATGAAGAAATAAAGGCTAAATATAAATCTATAAAGATCACAAAACCACCTATGATCTGGAGTGGCTGCAGGTGGGAGCGCCGCCACCTAGCATGCCCAGCCAAAGCCTCTCCAAGGTGGGCATTTGAGATGAGGTGGAGTGAGTGGTAGGAGATGTCTGTGCAAAAGTGAGAAGGAAGAACTTTATAAGGAAACTGTCGTGGTTGATGGACTGTGTCAACTTGAGACAGTTAGAAGCTTAACAAATGGGTTTAGCAACTCTACACCCAAGGATGTAGAAGGCCCACGCTAGGGTGGCTCATCACCTTGAGGTATAAAAGGGAAGGAGGAAGGATGAAGGTATTGCATTCTTGGAGAAGCTCCAGTCTTCACCTTTGGGTTGGACGTCGTCTCCTGGCTTCCAGTGTAGAATCTTCAGCTTTCCGGCATAGACTCTTCAGCCTTTCATCACAGAGCCTTCAGCCTTCTGTCGCAGACCCATCAGCCTGCTGGTGTGGACTTGTACAAGACACTAGGGTAAACTCCAGACCTTGGGTTGCATCCTTCGGCCTCCAGTGTGTAGACACCCTCTGCAGGCTTCCTCATCAGACTCTGTGGCTGACCATCATAAGCCAATCTTGTCATTTCTTACACATTTGTATAATCTTGTGTTATATCTGTTTTCTCTAATAAAACCCTGACTAATACAGAAACTAAAAACAAATGCTAACTCTGAAGTGGGAACAGGATTGGCAAGTTCAAGATTCAGAAAGATGTACAGGTGTATATCCTTATGTCAGAAAGCTGAGGATAACTAATTCTTTTTAAAAATTAAATGTTTCTTGACATACGTTTATGTGTTAATTAATCTTCTAATTCCTTTGAGGCTCTTGAAAGGTCAAATGGCTTTAGTTTCCCTGTTTCCTTATCAGGAGGGAGGCCTCCTCTTGCCAGGGTGCTGGCCAATTTCCCACACGGCCATCCTGTGCTGAAACATCTGCTACACATTGTCCCTTAGCCTGACCTTGTACAAATTCCTTCCTGTTCTAACTCACTGCCTCTGGCCTGCTAATAAAAGGAGGCTCATCCTCACTGGAGAGAACTGTATTTCTAAGCCTCGCTGCTCAGCTGCCACCTCCTCCCAGGTCCTGTGAGCCATGAAGCTTCTTTTCCTGTTTCTTGCCATTCTTCTGGCCACGGAACCAGTGATGCCAGGTAACACGGGATCTCTCAGGGCTCTGGGATCCTGGCCTCTACCTTCTCTCTGCCCTCTCACTGGAGGCGGCATCCCAGTCTTTGCTCATTTTGTGCAACCTTCCCAGGGTTGTGCCACATTAACATTTCTCCCTGATTCCTTCTTTGCTGACTGGTGGGATGATGGAAGTTTGAAACATCTAACACTTAAGGGCAGGGATGGCATCCTGGTGGGTGCCTGAGAGAGCTTGTGGCTGAAGGATGGGGTGCAAGTTGGGGGTTTGTTTGAGATTAGACTGAAGGCTGGAGGTGAGTTGGAATAGGAGGGACCTTAAGGTTGCAATGACTGGAAACATGAGGTTGAGCTGGAGGTGAGGAGCCAGGATCCATTGATGGCATGGGGCAAGTTGGAGAGGGGATGGAATTTTGACTTGGGTGGAGCTAGTGCTGGGCATTAAATTTGGCATGAGTTCAAGCTGGGAGTTGGTGCCTACTGTGCTTTTCTTCACATGATTGTTGGGTGGCTGCTGGGAGTTGATTATATTTGAGCTTGGCTTGGAGTATCTGATGTTCAGGGGCCATTGGGTTGAGTAAGACTGGGAGTTGGCAGGGTTTTGAGCTTGCACTAGGTAAAGGCAGAATCAAGGAAGGCTGCAGACGGGGTTGTGGCTCGAGCTAAGGTTCTGTGACAGAGACAGTCTCTTCATAAGGAGTTGGGTCAGTTGTAATGTGAGTGAATCTCCTCCATTGACTAAATTACAGGCAGACACCATTCCAAGCTTCTTTATTTGCTGAGAACTTCAGTAGCATCCACACTGATTCTGAAGTAAGGAGGAAAAAGTTGGGGAATAAGATGATAGAAGAGTGGAAATCCTCTCCTGAAAAAGGCTTTCTGGAAAACATTGGAACCTCCAGTTGGAACAAATATCTTCTTGCTTTCCTCTTTCAATGTCTTTTCTTGGTTTTCTTGGGACCAGGTCCACCCTTACTTACTGAATCCTCTCTTCTCTCCCCTTTTCATCCCTACTCCCTTATTTCTCCCCATCTTCCTTTTGTCTCCCCACATGAGTGACTAACATCTGCTTAATGACTGCTCCTGTGCCTGAAATACAGCGTTGGAAGGATGGACACTGCTGGCTGGTGTGCAGAGATGCTGAGGACAGCGTCATATGCTGCTGGGATTGTAAATGACTCTTATTTAACGATCCAGCCAATAACAATTGATGGAGACCTTGGTTAGACCAACCCTATACAGTTCATGTGATTCAGGCCAAGAAAGAAAAACAGAAATCACAGATAAAAATGACTTTGTTCTAGGTTCTTTGTTTCTACATTTCGTTAATCTCACAAATGTGTTTCTTATGTCAGTCAATCATAAAGAATGACACCCAATATGGATTGAAGGTGAGAGATAGCAGGATAGGCCTACCTGGTAGTAAAGAGAGGTCATTAGAGCTGGACCCAGAGAAGCTTTGCTAAATTGTCCTAGCTGGCTTTGAATTTTTGACCCTCCTGCTCCAGCCTTATGAGTAGCTTGGGTTACAGGAGTGTACTATCATGCCCAGCTACTACAATTTTAGTTTTGAAGAGGTTCCTCATCTCCAGCCCCAAGACAGGGCTGAGTCAGGGGTACATTGAGGGAATTAATGTGGGAGGAGCTGTGAGATTTAAAAGCACATCAGGTGCACGGAAATTGGGAGAATCCTTGGGCTGGAGAACTGGTCCATCTTGTGGTGAATGGGCATGGGGTGGACAGGGATGAGGTGGAGTGCTGAGTGAAGCTTGTCTCAGGTTTCCTGGAAGGTGGGCTCAAATACTTTCTCATTCTGCCTGTAGCCCCAGGGTCAGAAAGTTCCCAGGCGCTAAAAAAGATAAAGGATGTACATTTTCTCATTTACATATTAATATATGAATTAGTTCATTATTCATTTTTTAAAATCTTGTGTGTATTAATTTATTCATTCATTCATCTCTGGTCTGCCACAGACTGCATAAACTAGCAGACTGTATAAAACTCTCAGAATCTGAGCTTCTCCATCTGGAAAACTAGAAAATAGTATTAGCTGCCTCAATGTATAGTTAAGAATGAAATGAAGTAATGCACAATGTACTATACATAGAAAGCCCTTGATACATGTTAACTGATGCGACTGTTCAATGATCTATTCAGATATTCACTGAACATGTACTACATGCTTTCTGACTGTGCTAGACTCTGGGGGGACAGAAGCTTATCTAGTTTAACAGACAACTTAGCCTTGGAGAAGACTAACTCATGGGGAACATTTCAAAATCCTGCCTGGAAATCTAGAGGACCTGAGTGTCTTCCCAGGCTTTACTATCCCAGACTTTGTTCTTAGGGCCTTATTTGTCCCAAACAGTCCTTTTTAGGGACCTGGGTGCTCAATAAAGCACTGTGCATGGTACTGAGATAAGCAGAAGCCCAGTGCTATCCAGGAAAATATTTTGCTTTCAATTCAACATTTCTTTTTTAGACCGTAGAAAGAGAGACCCCTCTCCTGATCCTGGTCCTATTCCAGGGCTCCTCTAGCTAAGCCCCTTCCTGTAAAGGCAGGAGTTATTGGAAGAAGAGGGACACATCTCTTGCCCCAAGCCTGTGACTGCTGTCCTCACTCTCTGGAGTGTGGTGTACCTGTCCAAAGGGCTCCATGCCTGCTTCCATGAGCCCATCCCAAAGTCTTCCCCTGGAAGGTGTGTCTGGCTAGGTGTTCACCCCTAGGCAGCAGAAGTGCCACGGACACCCCTATATGCAGGGAGCCTGGGCAGGGCTCTGATGTCCAGGCTGGAGTGTCTGCACCTATCATCTATGTCTGCAGCTGTGGAGTTTGGGATGCCGGGGGTAGGGGTTGGGCCCATTGCCCCCATGCTGCCTGGTTTCTGCATGAAGTCTGAGAAATCCAATAATTACAAATTCTAATCTTATTCCTCCGGTTAGTACAAAGGATGATCTCACAGGAGGGAATAGGATATATTTTATTTATTTCCTTCATTAACTTGAGTCATAGCATTTAAGAATTCTGACATACGATATGAGTCTCTATTTGCATTCCCGCCCTAGATTTCCATCTCATCTTTGTAGGTTATCTCTCTTTTCCCAACTGAGTTCCGCCTGGCTTCACAAATTGTCACTTTTAAGATGTTATGTATCACAATATCATGTAGTTATTTGAGCCTTTGTTTTCTTTCCACCAATCCTCCAAACAAGAGCATATTAAATGGAAACTTTTAGGGGTTCAGGCAAGATCTTATTTATAGTTGTATGCTTGGTTTAAGCCCAACCTCTGTATAAATGCTAATACTTTGAGTATTTCTTGATTGATTGATAGATGAATGATGGGCTTGTGAGTGCCAGCATGAATGAATTTGGTGTGGGTACACCAGGTTCCAGAAATGAGGGTGGCATCCTCTGGGTTTGAGGGAACAGAAGACTTCTGCAGAGAAGGGTGCAGAGGAGTACGTGGATCCCTCTCAAGTTCTTGGGTCTTTTTGTTCCTCAGTTAGCTTGCTCTTGAAGCACACAGGCTTCATAAAAACGGAAGGTGGTCTAGGGATGGCCCAGAGCTCCCCAAAGCTTGGGACCTGGCATTGACACCTTCACAAACAGCAGCTCAGCCTCCACCAACTCATTCACTGGCATCCACATTTCCTCATTTGGCTAATACCACTTATTAAGAACCTTCTCTGGTCTTTGGCAACAACATCCGGGATCCCTTCTGTCTCTCTTAGAAACTTCCTTTCTCTCAATGAATACATTCTGCTCTTAAAAAAAATAGAACCTCCTCTGTGCCTAACACATGAGTAACAACCTCTGGGATGAAGAAGGGGCTTTGGTCTCCCCTTTGAGCCACAAGAAATCTTCAGATGATGCTTGCCCATGTGCTTGAATATTAGGGGGTTTGAAATTTTAAAAATTCCCTCAAATTACTCCTTTGGCAGAAAAGGCACCACCCCCAACATTCCTTCATTCTTCAGAGCCCTCAGTGCTCAGAGGATCTCTGTTTTCCAATTTCACAGATGCAGAAATCGAGATTTAAGGAAGGAAAGGTGACCCACACTCCTAGTTAGACACAGTGCTGGGACAAAAATGGTTCTCTTCTGACTTTGAAGATCAGGCTGAGAACACTGAAGATGGCGTTAAGTAGGTGTGGGTAAGACAGAGAGCAGTGGCACTGAGTGACACGGAGTCACAGGTGGGTGAGTGTGAGAGGAAAAGCCCTGGTGAAAGTCTTGGGGGTTAGTTTGGGCATCTGTGGATCCCCTGCTGGGGCCCGAGTGCCTTTCCCCACCTTCTTCAGTCCGGCTTCGCTGTCCCGAAGGTCCCGTGCTCCCCACCTTCCTCCCAGTGCAGACTGGCTCTTTTCCTCCAGGATGATGGGAAGGGAGCTCATCTCTAGAGGATGCCATGAAAAGGGATGCGGCTTTGGCCTTTACTTTTTAAAGGCTTCCTTGGCTCTCTCTATTCCTCCTGGTGGACTAGGGGATGTCAGGGATGGAGAGAGGGAGGATGCTTGTCTGTGGAGAGGGCCGACATGGCAGGTACAGAAGCGTTTTGGAAGAATGCCTCTTAAAGCTGAAGACCCAGGTCCGGGGCCTGGGCCTGCTGCTATAGCTGAAGCCCTGTTCAGCCTCTGCTTTGCACACCAGCACCCAGAATCTAAACCACATGTGATGCTTAATATTCATTTTCTCTTCTTGCCCAAACCTCAAAAGGATAAATATATTTGCTTAGGCAACACAAGCTCTCAGACAAAAACAATGGGCGGCACCGTTTTTATTTATGCAAGGACCTCGTGTGTGTGTGTGTGTGTGTGTGTGTGTGTGTGTGTGTGTACACATTTGATTTTGTGTTAAACCCAGTTGAATACAGACGACCCTTCTGTGCTAAATGCCAAGTTTAAGACCTGACAACACTGGGGCTGGCAATCAATCATGGAGTGAGTGAGAGGACTTGGAATGGCATGTTTAAAAGCTTGGGCTCAACAAAGAAGGCAAGTGAGATTCCAGCTGTCATCACCCAAGGAGGCACTGATTTCTCCCTGAAACAGAGTCCTACTACGTAGACAGGCAGCATGGCAGAAACAAACCGAAGGGATTTGTGATTGTAATTCCTCAGATCTTGAGATTCCCTCCTGGTCTGTCTTCTTGTGTTCACCTTACAGAGTCTTCTTTCATTGGTTTTATGTACAATGCCTAGCGTTCTAATCTCTACTTAGAAGGACAAGTACAGAAAAGGGCATTTACTCTATTTTTGTGGAAGTGGAGATTACCTTCAGGTTTGCCAGGCTCCCCAACCTCTACCCCTCTCACTTGCTAAGTGGAAACTAATTAGTATTATTGTTACTTTTTTCTGGCCAGGAAAATCTCTTCGCTGCATGGCCACCATTGGAACCTGTAGACACTCTTGCAAAAAGAATGAGCACCCCTACTATCACTGCAGAGATTATCAAACATGCTGCCTCCCGTCCTTCATGAGGATAAGCATTACTGGCACAGATGAAAATAATGAATGGTCTGACGGAAACTACTGGCCCCAAGCACCTTGAAGGGGGCCATCACAATCCTCAAACTTTCTGGGAACACAGACCTGCTGTTAGCCCTCCCTCATTAAAATTCGTGCACCTGCCACCCTGTTCTGTCTTTTATTTACTGGAAACCACAGTGAGAGATTGAGTTCTGCATGGCGAGATATCTCTGCTATAGCTTGTGGCAGAGCTCTGGGGTGATGGTCAAGGGGACTAGATCAGCCAGAGAAGATGGGGACGTGGTTGGTGGGGGGAAAGCAGTGGACACAAATGAGGAAAAGTGGATGGGGGTGGGCAGGGCCATTTAGGACCACAGGGAGGGACTAGGACAAGAAGGAGGGATGTGTGGGGCCGTCAGGAGAGACCTTGTAGACAAATTTGGCTTAGCTCTGAGCAGAACTTCCTAAGCAACACAACTGTTATCGAGTGAAGTAAGTTGCCTCAGCAAAGCTTCACGTTGTAGGTTGGGATTCTATTTTGTGATTAGTGTAAGAGAAGCTTGAATATTACTTGCTGTTGTTGTTCATGATCGTTAAGATCTTTTCATTCTTGAAAATCTAGAAGTTTACTCCTGCAAGTACAATCATCACCAGATTTTAACCTAAAATTCGGATTTTGTTTTTGTATCTTACTTCTTCCTAATATCTTATTTCTTTCCTTTTCTTTAGTTGAAATTTTATCAAAAGGAGAACATTTCCCCTGGCCATGATCTTTCTCTGCTCCTCTGCCTCTTCAGTTCAGTATAATTTGCTTTTTCTCTGATTATTCTAAAGAACTGGCTCTAATCCAAGTGAGCAGTGGACCACCTTTTAGAGAGTTCTGGGATGTTGTCTGCTTGTATCTCGCTCTGTCTCTGGACAGCATTTCCACCATAGCTTATTCTTTCCTTGAAAACCTTAACTGCCTTGGGTTCTGTGGCTTCCTTCATCGTTTCCCTAACTTTTAGGCTTCTCTTCCTCCTTTACCTATGGGGCATCTTGCATTGTCCTCTTGCAGTCCTGGGAATTAAAAATCCTCTATATTCCCAGTGAAAAGCTGCTAGTTTAACAGTTATGATAACAAGCGGGAAAAAAAGCCTCTAAAACATTTTGTTTTGCTGATCAATGACAACTTTCTTGAATGAACACAGCTCTAACAACACATTGACAATGATAGAATTATGCTTTGAAATCATTTTCCAATGATCTCTAAATTCCCCGCACACTGTAACTGACCCTTCCCATGTCTGTAACAATACAAGCTCATACTCAATTGTTATATATGCTTCGCTCTGCTTAAAGAGCCCAAGCCTGGTCAGCAAGCTTCTCCTAGACGTAAGGAAGCAATTATTTTAGCATTTTGGGGTTAGGGTTGAGCAGTTGCTTTCATCCTTTGATGGTAATCTTTTCTCCTTCCTCCTGTGATGCTTCCCACACTCTCATACATCAAAGCTTAAGATCTAGAGAAAAATGCTGGTTCTAAACCTGTGCTTCAGGAAGGATATTGGTCTAAGAACTCAGGTGGTATTCTCATTGCAAAGAGCTTTTAAAAAAGTCACTAAAATATACAATAAAACCTTTTAAGCATGCTTGACCTTGCACAAAAATAAGGCCAAGAACATCAGAGCCAAGTGCCAGCAGACATTCTTTTGAGGGCAATAGGTGAATCTGACTTTTGTCTTGAAGACATTTGCTTGAATCAGGTGAATTTGAGCTTTGGTTGCTGTAACTTTGGGGAGGGCAGGACTGGGCAGAGGAAGGGAGACAGTGCCTAGGGTTTGAAAAAACACTCTACTAAGAGATCTCTACATGTTCCACAGTCCTGAAAGTGTGACATACAAATGTAAGGACAAACCAGTTACATTCCTTCTCCTTCAACAGATGTCCTCAGGGAAAAGGGCCTCGTTTTGAACTTCAGTCCTCAGAAAAAAAATTTCACTGAAAATTTATAACCTTATACTGACCCTTATTAGTCTCTCATCCTGAATTCATGGCATATGAGTGGTTTTTTAAAAAAGCAAACAAACCGATAATTTAGTTCAAAGTGACTCAAGGTTGTAATGTCAAGATTTCGGACAGAAATAAATGAGTAGACCTTTAACTGAAGATTCAACCAATTTTCTTGGATAAAGTTGCAAGGAAAAATACACAAACCAGAACTTCAAATTAAAAAAAAAACACCCAGGGAAAGAAGGCACAATAAATTAAGCCCCCCCCCCAAAACCCCAAAACATATGCTAGAGGGCTGGGGATTTACCTCAGAGGCATAAGTGCCTGCCTGGAAAGTGCAAGGTTGTGGTTTGATTCCAGTATCAAAATCAAACCCCTTCTCTCAAACCTATGCTAGAGACAGCTTTCTAAAATAGTCTCTGTTATCAATTGTCCAAAATGGCAGATAGGTATGAAAAAAATAAAGTTTATAAGGCCTGACTTTCTCATTGTGAAATGGATATTGTGTAATGTAACCTCTTGAATAATAAAATGAGAATCGTGAAGAAGCATTCCAATGTTAGGTGGAAATCATAGGTTCAAAACTGAGACTTAACAGACCTGGAAAGCATGAGCTACAGGAGTGGGCAGCTCAGTGGCTTCTGGTGTTCATTCCTGCTTTCTTCTTTATCCATCGTATACTAACACCTTCCTGTGGAATTTCCATGGTTAACTGACCAAGGAGGAAAAATCAATGCCAGCTCTGTGCTGTGGTCTGCATGGTATGCGGGTACAAGCCAGAAGTGTTGAATTATGTCCAGATGGAGGAGTGCCTCTGAAAGACTGTGGCTAGGGAAATCCCTGCAAGAGTCAGAGGGATAATCTCATATAGGAATCTACAATAATCACTGATAGTGGAAATAGACTGAATGACTTTTCCAGGACTTGCAATGAGCAAGCTTAGAAGATTTGTAAGAATTAGGTCTGTGATAGTTATGTGGGTGGACTGCAGTGACAAGAGACAAGGTGTGAAAGTATTTTTAGTGCTATCAGGAGGGCGACATAAAAGCACTCAATGATCAAGTGGGCAAATGGCCCATCCTCCATCCACAACTGGGGCCCTCCCTGCCACTGGATGCTGGGCCAACAAAATAGGCCAATGGAGCCAGTTTTTTCAATGGTTTCTATTCCAGCCTTGCAGCAACTGGAACAAGGAGTCTCTCAGCTCAGAACTCCTGGGTCAGTCCTCCTCCTCCAGTGAGAGATAAGACGGATGTCAAGGCTAAAGTTAGCAGGAAACTGGATGCTGTCATGAGAGGTGTCTACTGTTCTACAAAGAACACTTTTTAGTATCTGCGCAGCTACACTAATCAATGCAAAGATTTAGAATTTTTATTTTGACTTGTTTTCATTATACTTTCATCAGAAGGCAGGACAAATGTCAGGAATACCCCTGGTATCCTGGACACTTGTTCAGAAGACAGAGGATGCAGGGAAAGACCAGTGTTAGAATATTTAACAAAGTGATTGAAGCTGTACATAGGTCACCTGCACATGGGAATGCCAACAATGGGTTAAATCTTGTGGAAATTACTGGACATTTGAAGAAGAGTGTTGAAGAGTTTATCATGGGAAATAGTGAGCATTTTAGACTTTTACACAGCTGTTTTTATCTAGAATTACATATTGATGGGGAGTACGGGTACATCATGAAGTGTTTCTAGTACCTGATCTCTATGACTTCGTTCACTGCTCTGAAGACATGGGTCAATGACACCGAGAAGTCATGAAGTGTGGTGAACCTCCAGGTCCATCTGAGCTCCCCATTCTCTGTCAGAGTCTTCACTTCACTCATAGCCATCGTCTTCAAAGGGGTTCATAGAGGGCATTGTTAAAATCAGATCAAAAAAACCTGTCTGTAAATCACCCCAATTGCTGGGAGTTGTCGTGGGAAGTTGCTTGCAACAGGGCTCTGGGCTGCGGTTTCTACTTTCTGGAATGCAGCAGATGCGATGATTTTTACAAGCTTCTTTTATTTCTTCTCCATCTTTGCAGTGTTTTCTGCAGGTCCCGGATTTGTTCAGGCATTTTCTCCCTTCATTGAAGGCTAAACAATCAAAGGAAAGACCACTGATGTTAGGTTGCTGTTATTCTTAGTTTTAGTAGTGTGACTGTGTATCCAGCCTCCCATAAGAACATTATGGACAATAATAAGACTATGGTTACAAGACTCTCAGTTCAAAAGTGAGATGTATCTTATCATCAATGAAAAGAAACTGGCTAGTCATAAGGAATTGCAGCAGGTTTAATGAAGCTATCTGGCACTGTGTCAAGATATCATATCAAGAAGTTCATCTGGTAACTGTGATTGAGTTATTTGCATTGGTTAAATTAATTTGAATATAAGCTACTTCAAATTATGCCCCAGCATATAAAATGCTTCTATGTAATGAAACACCCATGTAACGGCACCCTGATTAAGGACTAGGGTATTACCAGAAACTTACAATTGTGTATTTCTATATGACAGATTCAACTTGTTTGAGGATTAGGCCAGTGATTCTTAGGCCCTGATATGCATATGAATTCCATAGAGGCCTTACAAAGAGGTGATTTAATTGGAGGGATAGGGCCTGAGTTTATACTTTCTTAACAAATTCCTAGGTGATGTCAATATCGCTAGTCCATACACTACATTTTCTGTAGGAAGGCTTGATGGCATTAAAAAAGACTTAGTAAGTTCCGTGTACTCAGCATTATACATTTAATGATTTCTAGCCAAACGCAGTAAAATTAGAATGAAAAATCCTTTATATTTGGAAATTAGACCATGTGATAAAGAATAAGAATAAAACTTAGATAAGAGTAGTAAAATGTCAGAAATAATGAAGTTAAAAGTAAATCAGAAGACTTCTGGGAAGATTGATCAAGGAAAAGAGGATGATAACAAAATCAACCGTATGAGACACTGAAATAAAAACAGATACAGCATATTAAAAACAACAAAAAAGAATTATCAACAAGTGTATGCTAATAAAATTGAAAACCTAGATGAAATGGCTAAATTCCTAAAAAATTTCCAGGGATGACACTGAACAAAAACCCCACTAAACTAATAATTATTAAGAAATCCAAATAGTGGTGTAAGAGCTTCCTTCCTAAAGACCTTGGCCTTGGATGATTTTTTTTTTTCAAATTGTAGTAAAATATACCCAACACAAAATTGACCATCTTAACTATTTTTAAGTATAAAGTTCAGTGTCGTTAGGTGCATTCATATTGTGCTAATATCAACATTGTTGATTCTCAGAACTCTTTTTTATCTTTCAAAGCTGACACCCAGCGCCTGTTAAACTGTGAATCTCCATTCTCTCCCTCCCCTGCTCATCGTGGTAACCATCATGCTACTTCGGTCTCTGTAAGTCTAGTTACTTCTAAGCTTTTCATAAGATGGGAATCACACAACATTTTCCCTTTCATGCTATAAAATCTTCACGATTCATTTATAGTATCATGTGTCAGAATTTCCTTCCCCTTTAAAGCTGAGTAGTATTCCATTAATGGCATCTATATACCACGTTTAATTTATTCATTCATCTGCTGATGGATGTTTGAGCTGTTTCATCTTTTGGCTCTTGTGAATAACACTGCTATATTAGATGATTTTAAAAATGAGTTCTACGAATTTCAGATGACTTTCGTAAGATAATTAATAAATGTAATGAATTGATAACCCAGAAGTAGTTTTAGGAGACTTGAACATTTTACTTTAAAATTTAAAAAAATTTTAGAATGTCTTGTTAGCACAGTAGGTCAATTTCACAATTTTTATTTTATTAAAGTATACTAATGAGTTTCACTTGACATATTTCATACATGAGTATAACATACTTTAGAATTATAAAGAGGAATAAAGGCCACTGATAACAGGAATGCTTTTTAAAAAGACAAAAGTGTGTCCTCCTACACTAATATACTGTAAAACCACGTTAGGAGAAATACGCTATTATCACAAGAATAAATAGAAAAGAGAACACACTCAAGAGTTAAGATTATACACAGTAACAATGACACTGCATATCCACAAAGAACCATAGATTATTAGTATGTCTTGCTGGGAAAAATAGCTCACCCTGTAAGAAAAATAAAAGTGGATCTATGCATCCCATCCAGTGCCCTAAAAGTCTGTATGTGAAAAGCTAATTTACAAAGTTACTAGAAAATAATGTCCCAGGATTGCTTTGGGAAATAAAAATCGAAAAATATTTCTTTAACAAATGCACAAGCACAATGCTCAAGGCAAAACATGGTTGAATTTACTTAGGTCAGAATGAAGTATTTCACATTCAAGAAGAGCAACATAATATAGGCAAGGTTCATGCACAGGTAGATGACAGACTGGGAGTTAAAGTCAGTGATCAAGGCTAAGTATGAAATAAGATCACAAGCAGATACAGAACTACACAGTGTTAATACACAGCAAGCAGCTCAGTGGATCCATGGTCAAAGGATGCAAACAGACAATTGATAGAAACAGCAATAGTCATTGCTGTTGAAATATTTTCCATGTTTGTTTCATATTTGCAAATCTATTGTCATTCAGTAGTTTTTTTTGAGAACCTACTGTACACCAGGCACTGCTCAAGATGCAGAGGTTATGACCATTCAAAAAATAGACCAAAGTTCCTACCATGGATATTTCAGTCTTTTCAGGAGACAATAAATAAGACAGCAGGTAAAAGAAGAAAGTGAAACCTATTTTACGTTGATATAGTTAGATATGGATAAGCATCACCGAGAGAAATGAAGTGGGCAGGGGACACTTTTATTTTTCTAATCACAAAGTATGTGATTAGAAGACTTCGAGAGGAGGTTAGAGGGTGAGCTACGAGACTAAGTAAGGAGACTAATTAAGAAAGAGTGTACCAGGCAGAGGAAGTAACAAGTGCAAAGGCCCAGAGGCAAGGTTTATCTTAAAGTTTTTGAAAAACAATGAAGTGGCTATTGTGAGTAGAATATGCTGGGTGGAGAGTAACGGGAGAAAAATAGCTCACAAGGTCATTGAAAGGAAGCCATTCAAACTTTTTGATCACAGGAGAGGAGAAATGCAGATTGAAGCAACCGAATGAGATAATTCTGTACCCAGCAGACTGATAAAAACAGCGCTCAGTGTCAGAAGGATTGTGATGCTTAGCAAAACCCTTGTGCTCTGTGTGAGAGTGTAGACAGCTTCTTGTCTCTACAGATGTCCCTGAGTTTTAGTTTCCTTCCCTACATGTAGGTGCTATGCAATATAAAGAAAGATTTTACACTTCTTTTGTCATCTCAGCTCTTCTTTCCAAGAAGGTGGCTTTACCTGTGTGTCTCTTACCGGAACCCTCAAACTAGAGACCCTAGAACATGTGCTGCTTCCTTCGCTCCCAGATGTCCTGAGTTTCCATGACTCATGGTCACCTTTACAAAGCCTTTTCCATGTGTCTCTTGCCTGTTTTCAATATTCCCAACAGAATTCAAAGCACACACAACAGGTCCCACGTGAATCACATTTTATGCCCGATTGTATCTTTAACTGCAACTAGAGAATTACAGTGGTGCTTTGGTTGACGAATTTAATTTGTTCTGTGATTTTGGAAAAGATAGCCACGCCTGTGCTTGTGTGAGAAAGATGGGTGTGGTCATATTTGTCACCCCCAGCAGAGTCTGAGAACAAGAGTAAACTTTTGCCAGATACTTTCTTGAGAACCACATTGATTGCAAACAGAAACATTCGTGAACTGAGGCACCACTGTACTTAAAATTTTGAAAGCCAGCAATTTCTGCTGGAAGTATCTTGAGAGATATATAGGGGAAGAATTAACAGAATAAAATTTTAAAACTTACCTTATCTTGGCCATCTGACTTCTAGACATCTATCCTATATAAATCCTTGCCCAAGTGCATAAATATATTTGTACAAGTATGTTCACTAATGTGCTGTTAGGAAATGTTCCACATGATCATACACAAAAAGAATGTAGCATTACCATATGTTAGTGTGTCAACTCTTCTATGAGACAAATATTTAGACTCATTTTTATGTGAGCTGGATTGTATGCTGGAATTCTCCTTGAGAGATACACGGTGGTAAAATGCTAGATCTTAGATTTTCACTGCCGAAGGGAGAAGAAAAATCAGTTTTATCTTCTATGTAGCAGCTCTGCAGATATTTTTCTGACCTGTTCACCAAATTATAAAGTATGAGGAAACTACAAGGACTTCATTTGAAGGTATAAAATGATTTTAAGACAAGAAAACAGGGACATTTGCTTTGAGAATGATTTTCAAGAATTAGTACAAGCTACAAAGGGCACTGCGGGGAATAAAGCTCTCCCCTGACGCCTCAGGTGGTAACTGGAATACAGACTCCAGGGCACCGGTTTGCTTCTGTCTGCTGAGGGTTGTTTGTGCTCCCCCAGGCTTATTCCTGCCAAAGACATAGCTTTAATGTCGGCACTGTGCAGCTGTTTGGGTGTGAGGGTCCAGCTGCACACTGCAATTTCCCTGGGCCAGAGCACATTACGCGGTCATTTTTGTAGCTCCCTTGGGTTATGATTACCTGGGATCACGGGGAGTAGTAATGAAAAGACAGAAAGAGCCATCAGCAGAAACTTCATGGTCCTCAGGAAGTAGGAGGCAGGAGATCCAGGAGTCCAGAGCACTATGTGCAGTCTGAATCTGGCCAAGAGTTTTATTGGCCTCTGTGTGGTGGTGGAAGAGGGATGGGCTTGTAACCAGACAGGTTGTTAAAATGTATCCACGTGGAGCCCTCTGTTGGCTGGTGCACTCAGAGGGCTCCTGGTACAGGCACTAGGGGAATACACAGCTGGCTTAAGTTTGGAGTCATGAAGCACTCCTGTATTCAGACACCCTCCCGGCTTCCCCAGATGTCTGGTGAGGGTCCAGCATTGGCTCACAGTCCATCACGCTCTGGCAGAAGCCTGTTTTTTGAGTTACCTCTGTAATTATGCATCTCCATACTGGGCTGAGGTTGGTAAAAGTAAGGATGAAATCTCTTATTTTTGATCTCCCAAGTCATAAAGCACATTCACAGGGAAAGTCCATGGAAATAAAAGATAATGAACACATGACCATAGAAAGGCAAAGTCTTTCAGGTCAAGTGACCCACCTCAGTTAAACAGAATCAACTCACTACAGAGTTTGAGGAAGATCATTTATAACACGATCCAAACAGGACGCAGTAAGAAGCTGCCCAATGTGAGCAGGAAATGCTCCCTTCCGAAAGCAGCTCTGTGGTGACTTTGATGAGGACACACAGGGGCCCTGGAAGACCCAGTGCTGGATGTTCAAATCCACCCCCAGGAGGAAGAATGTTAATGCAGCCTTCAGATTTGGCCTGGATCCACCTTGCTGCTGTTACTTAGTTCAACTCCTGCTTCTTGTTTTATACTTGGTCCTAGAGTTTCCCATCAGCTGTAGAGGAGTTTGCTGATTTCTCATCTCTGGAACTGATGGCTTTTGTTGAACGACTCAGGAGGGATGTCTGGTGGGTGAACAGATGCCATGTGAAGTGTCTAGCACGGTGATGGCCTTTGTCTGTATTATTTCTAGATGAAGGTGCTCTCTCCTGTTAACAGCTGAATTCCCTTACCATGGAAAGGCTGCTCAGACTGGGAAATGGTGTTCTCTAATTCAGTTGTTTTTTCAAGCTGGAGCTAAACAATGAAATAGGAAAGATTTTTACAGAGGATGAAGAGTGTCTTCCCTGGTTTCTCTCAAGCATAAAAATCCATATTCTTAAATTTTTAATGTTCTACCCACGTCATGATGATGAGAGAGGTCTCTGACCCTTTCTGAGCTGTTCCTTAGAGGGAGTCACGCTGTGGAAAAGCAGGAAAGTCTGGGTTACTCCTGGCTGAACCCCTATGGCCTGCCCTACTCTACAATGATGGTGGTGGTGGTGGTGGAAAGGAGAAAGAAAGACGGTTGGAAAAAAGCAAATGAACAAATAGTGTCTTGAAGGGGAAAGGCCAAGGTCATAGAAATACAGTAACAGACCTCTGAGATAGACACCAACATTTAGATATTGAGAGCTTTCTTTCTTTCCTTCTTTCTTTCTTTCTCTCTCTCTCTCTCTCTCTCTCTCTCTCTCTCTCTCTCTCTCTTTCTTTCTCACCTTCTTCCTTTCTGTTTTACAGACAGGGTCCCTCTATGTAGTCCAGAATGGCTTTAGACTCACTATGTAGCCCAGGCTGGCCTTAACCTCACAGTGATTCTCCTGCCTCAGCCTCTCCAGTGCTGGGATTACAGGCGTGTACCCTCATTTCTGGCTAGAATACTTATTTCTTCTTAAGTGAACTTTGGTAGTTTTTATCTTCAAAGACACTTTCTCATATCATGGCAGTTGTCAAATTTATCACTATAAAGGTGTCTATAACATGTTCCCTAATAGTTTTTAAAATACCGTTTAAATTAATGGACTTTATCCTTGAATAGTTATAGGTTTACAGAAAAATTGAGTAAAAATGCAGAATCCATTGCAGTTCCCTACTTCCATCCATTTTTTTTCTTTAATATCTTGTATTATTGTGGTACATTTGATGTAATCAATAAACTAGTGTTAAATATTATTATTAAGTCCCACAGTTTCCATTAAGGTTCGCATAATAGTTTAGTTCCTTTTCTTTCTTTACTTTTAAATTCTTTGTTTTCAGAGGTTGGAAAATACTTTTTTTAAATCAGTGTATGTTCACTGTGCATAATGCTTACATTCTTACCTGTCATATGTATAATTTCCAACATTCTGGAAGAAGGATGAAGCGAATGAACACGTGTTTACACAATGCACGACACTCTAAGGATTCTTGCAGTCAGGATCTTTGGAATCAAGCAAGTCAGACTCTCTTGTTTTATAGATGGGAGCACGGAGCACGGAGGCCTGGAGGGGAGGACTGAGTAGTGGGCAGCAGAGGTTGCTGAAATAACTTTTCTTGTAGTGCTGATGACCGAACGTGAGGGAGAAGACTCTTATTATAGGGCTTGGTGTCTAGAAGTGACCTCTTCCCAGAGTAGGCGAAGTATGGAGGAGGTTGTGTTTATGACTAAGGCAACCTGGGGAAGAGCACAGAGCCTTCTGTGAACACTCACGCACAGAGCCAACGTGGGAACCACATGTCACCCAGAGTCAGCTCGGTCCTGTTTTTCTCAGGCTTTGCTTTACTCTGTTACCGGCCCTTGCTGGATGAGCTATGTAACCTTACACTCATAAGCCTGTGTGGCCCAAGAAGTTCCAAAAAAGCCTGAGAGGAGGTTCCAAATATTCCTGGTCTACATACAGCTCCAGGTGGTTTTATTCTTTTGGTGACTTTTTGGTGGTTGATTTCTGGTCTTAATGGACTACGGTTGGAAATTAGGCCTGCAGTCTCAAACTTAAGTCTTGACAGGAGCTGAAGGTTTTTCTACGCAGCCAACAGGCTGGCCTTGCCTATTGGTAGGAGGTTTCAGCTCCTCTCCTGGAAAATCTGGAAAAGGAGACTTTCAGGGAGTGAACAGGTTGAGAACCAAGGCGGTGGGGTGGAAATAAGCTGCGTGCGAGTGAGGGACAGAAACGGGGCTGACTGGCCTGGTTCATGCCCCAGCTCCCACGGCTCCAGATAAAGTGCCTCAACTGTGCTCCAGTCCCTTGCCCAGCACCTAAGCCAGAGCTTTGCCACAGTGCCATTCATCCCATCTGCTAAAAACGCTTTTTATCAGCACGTGCTTCCATGACAACGTTTCTGCCCTGAGCCAGCTAACCATGAACGGAACCCCCTAAAACATGAATCACCTTCTTCAAATTGCGGTGTCCGGCATCACGTCCAGCAAGGTGAGAGCTGATTAATACAGTACTTTTTCAAAACTCTGGCTTTCAATTCTTGTTAGTACATAGAAAAATGACTGACTTTTGTATGTCATCCTTGTAGATTTCCTGAGATTTTCTATGTAGGTGATCATATATGAGTAGGGACAACTTATTTCTTGAATCTCAGCTAATTGAATTCCTAAGTTGAGGAAGTATTTGGTTATTATTTATTTGAATACATTTTGGGGGGCATTAACCTCTTTTACTCCTCCTTGTAGAACTTCAGTGACGGGGATGGTCCAGAGGTTCCTGAGCTCTGTTCATGTTTTCAGCCTTATTGTCCTGCTTTTCAGATTGGATAATTTCTATTGATACATTTTTAAATTCATTGACTTCTTTGTCTTTTCATTCTTCCATTGCTCTTAACCAGTGAATTTTTATTTTAGATACTGTCTTTTTCATTTTCAAACTTTCCACTTAAAAATAATTTTCCTTTTTCTACTGAGTAGCTTCGTCTTTTCCTATATTTTAAGAGTTAACTTCTGAGGCATGATTATACTATCTGCTTTAAAGTATTTGCCTGAAGGTGTCAGTATCTGAGTGATTTGTATCTGACATCTGTTGGTTATCTGCTCTCTTGAGAATTGTTCACATTATCCTAGTTGTTTATATGTATGGTAACTTGGATTATAGGCATTTGAATATTAGATTGCGAGAATCTGGGTCCTGTTAAAATTCCCCAGAGGATTTTGTTCTCCTACTTCAGTTAAGATGTTGCATTCTGTCTTAACTTCTGTGGACGGCCGCTCCTGTGTCATTTCTGTTCTCAATGCCTTTGCTATCCTGGTTTGCATTTGCAATGCATGCAAACTTCTTAGGGGTTGGTGTAGGCGGTGGATAATGTTTTAAATCATAATTCAGTTGTGGAATCTTTATCATACTGCCCTGGGCTTCTTCTGCACACCTTTAGTTTGCAGGTAAGCCTGGAATTTGTGCCAATTTGTAAACAGTATTTGTGAATCTTCCTTTAGATTTGTGGCTTCTATCCTTAATTCACATACTACTTTTTAAATATTTATTTATTGTCTTTTTGAGACAGGGTCTCACTATGCAGTTCAGGCTGGTCTTGGACTCACTTTGTAGCCCAGGCTGGCCTTGAACTCCTGGTGATCCTCCTGTTTCAGTCTCTGGAGTGCTGAGATTACAGGTGTGCTCCCAGCCAAAGACTACTTTTTAACTCTTCACTTTCCTCAGGTAGTTGCTTCTTGTATTTTTTCCAGAGTTAAATATTTTAAGCAGCACAAGACATGGGTCACAGTGGCTTCACTTCAGATTGGTTGGTACCTCAAACTTCAATACTCCTTTTAATGCTCAAATTGTCATACTTTGGACAGTGAATGCCTTTCAGACTGGTTCCTGTGTCTTTTTGTCTTGATTCCATTAAATTTCAAGAGCTTCTTTCATAATGTCTAAAATCAAAACTTTATTTTATTAGTGATATAAACACTATAGTTTCTTCTTGTTATATAGAAAGGAAGTTAGTGATGTTTCTTTAGTCTCTACATGAATAGAGGAAACATAAAATGATTTTTTTATTTCAACAAAAGTTTGGCAGACTTTAATCACTTAAATTAATAATTGATTAAGTTATTTATTAAATTAAGAACTGATTTACTATACCAGGCTGAGTATTTGGGGTGTGAACTATGAGGAGTTAAAAGAGAGGTGAGATTTATTCCTTTTTTGGGATTTAAAAACATCTTTACAGAACAACTTCCCCAAACCTATAAAGTTATTGTGAATTTTAAAGAATATTGAAGTTGAATATGGAGGTAAGGCTTTTACCCGAAGCATCTCCACGAGGAGATTGGGAGTTCTGAG